TCCAGCTCAAACACATCCCAACCAGGCACCCAGATGAAACCCAGCTTCCTAACTAATGATAGCCGTCCATTTACCCGAAGCCAAGCTGCACTAAAGGCCTCCAATAAAGTAACACAATGCTGCCAGCCAATCAAGATACAAAAAGAGCCAAAAAACAGACAGAAGATATTAGAGACACCAATCAAGCAGAACACAGCAAACTCCGAGACCAATAAACACAGACCAAGACTCCCAACCAATCAGGATGAAGAAAAAACCATTCTGGCACAGCAATAGGCTGCCCCAAATTTAAATCTGAAACCACTGTAAAAGTCTGACTCACAGACGGACACAATACAGAAGCCTGATGATGGCAGATGAGATTCTGCTGAAACGTTGCTACAACTTTAAAAGCACCACTACTATGACGTGGGAAAATACCCGAACAAAGCTGAAGGCTATATATATACATACATACATACATACATACATACATACATACATATATATATATATATATATATATGTTTAACTTTCCCTGAGTCATCAAAGGAGATATAAAAAGCACAGAAAGTAGTATGTAATCCTAAAAGTCACAAGAAAAATATAAGCAATATTCTATGCCACCCAAACTTTCTCAGCTGCCCATCTGTTGAGAAGTGAAACATGATTTCTTCAACTATAGTTCAAATGCCATTGCAGTATATTTGTTCATTAATTAATTTTAAAGATGTAAAAAGACTTAATTGCCAAAATTATGTAACAAAAATGTTACATTTATGCAAGCAGCTCTTACTGAGGACACTCTCTTTCTCCTGATTTCATTTTCAGCTGACATAAGTAGCAATTCAAGTTCTTTAATTTTTTTCTCTTTGTCAGGATCATCATCAAATGGCTGCTAGAATGGACATTGAGGGGAGGGGACACACAAAGAGATAGAATTACATTTAGGACACATCACTAGGAGATAATTTATAAGGGGCATTAGAATGAAATGATAACAGGACTTTTGTTAAAATTAAAATTATCAGGCGTAAGTAAATAGTAGAAATGCAGCTGATAACATGTGCTTAAAATGAACCTAGCTGTCTAATTTCCAACAATATACTTCAGAATAATTTCAGAGCAAAGTTGAAATCCTGACAGAGTTATAGTAGAGTCAGTGGTGCTCTGAGCTTGGTTGTTTGCTGCAGACATTTCATCCCTGACTAGGTAATATCATCAAAGGTAGAAGAGAGTGGTGTTTGCTTCCTGTTTATATACAGGAAGCTTCCTTGCCATTGTTGATGAAAGCCTATTATCACAATGATGAAATTGCCCTGAACATTATCAAACCTGAACTGGCACAGTATTTGAAACTGGACCTGATTATTATCAAATAGCGGGGAACTATTATCCTTTTATTTATTGTCACTTTTTATCAGTCTGATTTAGATCAGCCTGGCACAGACATATTTATATATTAGGCTATAGGCTAACTTGCAGAATAACAATAAAAAAAGTAAACAGAATTTGGCAATATTTTAAAATACACATCAGTTCTGTAGACTGGTGTTGATATAGATGTATAAGATGATCATAATTATTTTTATTTCATAATTGCTCAGTGACAAAAAATATTCCTCGAATTTTTAAATACATTATTCTTTTGCAAGATATTACCAATTTCCATCCAATCAAACTGATACATTAAAAAACAAAATAAGCTGAAATTCTGGAGAGGCAAGTAATGGAAATTTCATACAGTAGACCAATATATTTGATACTACTTAAAAAAAACTCCCAGATTTATACACATGGATTTTATCTGCTATCCAAGATCTAAAATAATTCAGCTGCATTAACATATGCTTTTTTTTTTTTATCAAAATAGTTCCATTTCCTTAATGGAAAGTGTTCAAATTATTGGACACAATAATATGTCAATCCTTTCAAAATAACTGAGGTTGATTGTATTCCTGAAAATAAGGTCCCTATTAAGAATATTTTTTCATATAACAATTAAACAGAGATATTTTTGTGCTGTCATCATGTCAGAGAAAGGGTAAAATGTGAATATAGTTACCCAACAATTACCTGAATAAAGTTTGAAGGAGCTGCAACATCTAAACAGCTGCTTTCTGTTGAAACATACTGGTAACCTGGTATCTAACAAATCAATAGTTATTTACACAAATATAATCAATTATCTCTGCACAATTATTTCTACAGAATAATTTAAACATTTAATTTTAGAAAAAAATAATTTGAACATTTCAAAGAATTACTACTTTGAGACAAAATAAGAATATTAAGAAGAAAAAAATTGAAAACCAAATATTTTCAAGAACAAATATTTACAGTAAAAAAGCAGTTTAACTTAAAAAATATATCAAAAATAAATCAACAAGAAAAGGTTAAAACAATGCTGAAGGTATTAAAAATTCTGGATTCTTTCAAGTATCTCACCTAAATTATTTTAAATTATTTGCAGCATGAAGTTCTCACACATTCTCCTATAGCAGGGCTGTCAAACTCACGGCCCGTGGTCCAGATGGATCACATGCTGGCCACGCCGAAGCCGAGTTTAGTGAAGGAGGGAAAAGTCCCAATACGTCATGTGACGATGCCGTGACACCGTGAATTTGATACCCTTGTCCTATAGTAAAAAATATGGCTATAAAAAATTGGAAACCTACATGTGTCTGAACTGGTATATAAAATTGATTTTGGGCATGCAGATGATCCGTAGATACACAAGTTTTGTGAGGAAGTTTTGATAAACAAGGGCGCTCTGTCTTGATTCCATCTTGTAAATATCCTTCTTGTTCAACTTTTCTTCGCATCGTAGAGTTCCAATGATTTTTTATTGAGTTGTCAGTCCTAAACAAATAATAGGATATAATCCTAAATCAAGTTCTCTATAGTTACACTAATTTCAGTGGGGAAAAAATGAATCATTTTTGAGTGAGACAAAACATTTTTAATAAGTTGTACTATGTCCATAACGTAAACATTGTATTTATTATGTATTGCATAGAATTGAAAATTAGGCAGCAAGAAATGTTAAAATGCAAAATTAGTTTTCCAGAATTTCCTAAAATAAAATTTCAGTTTAAATGTTTCTAAAAGAGGTATTAAAATATTATAATACTTTTATATTATTCCTTCTCAAAAATGAGGAAAGAAACATCACAATAGGAGTCTTCTAACAGAGATTTGTACAAGTTTATTCCAGAAGCCAGGTGTGTTTCCTGAATTATGCCCAAACCCTAACCTTCTCATTTTTTAAGTTGCCTTATGGCCTTTAGGTCTTTTTTAGTAGTTGAAGATGTCTACTTCACTACTATTTGTTTCAGTTATCAAAGGCTCTGATTTGAGGGGCAAAGAAAGTAAATGTATCTTGCTTCTCATGCAGGAGGTGGGGCATTGGCCTGAAAATGTCTGGTGAGCTTTTCAACATTCCTCTGTATCTGTGTTCTCTGAGCCTTTCAAGTCCTCTGTGTCCGTGCTGGGAGAGAGGATGGGGCAAGATTACACAGGATCACTGAAATCTGGGCGGATGAAAACTAGGAAGAAAGGGGTTTGCTGAGAGAGAGCAGGACAGTAGTGATAGTTCTTCATTTTGGAATAAATTAAGATTTGAAGCACTGCTGCCTTAGCAGTAATATTATAAAGCCCTATCAGTACTTTCCTAGCATGAGACTTTCTGAAGAAAATAGGCTCTATACTCCCAAACTGAAGAATTAATCCAGTTAATTGTGCTGGTTTTCTAGCATAATGAACAGTTAGAAGTTCTAACTGGGTTAATGGAAAATGTATTAGTATATTGTGCAAAAAAGGCCACATAATAGCATCATTTTAAACAAACAGACGATTAGAAAAAAAAACCGACCTTCCAGGGAGCAGTTTTGCAATTTCAGCCCATCGGTTTCCTAAACGTTTATGAGCTTCATAGATGATTCTGTCTTCCTCTTCCGTCCATGAAGATTTCTTTACCTCTGGATTAAGATGATTGTGCCATCTCTCTCGACATTGTTTCCCTATCCTTCCTTTCAAGTGCTTTGCAATCAAAGACCAGCGTTTGGGGCCATATTTCTGAACAAGTTCAATCACCTGGAATACAAATTGAATGGCACATTTTCTCCAGCATTGTTTTAAGAAAAAATAGTACCCATGTAAAAGAAGCAAAGGATCTCATTCTATTTATTTAATTATTTAGCCACAAAATCATTCTGACTTCCAGTGGCTTACATTTAGGACACTGGTGCTAAGGGGAAGTATAAAAATACAATGGATGAGATCCCACATAATGCTAAGCCAGGGTTTTTTTGTAGCATACTTTGCCATGGTAGCTCACATTATTCTGTAATAGGTTGACTGATCTAAGTACACACATACATAAGCGCGCACACACACACACACCCCTCACATTATGATGTAGCATTATGTATAAACCAGACCTAATATCATATTTAGAAACTAGCTGGTGGAGTGCAGTATTAAAATAGAATATCTAAAGGGTAGGATACAGAACATAGTTTGAAATAATCTTACAAAGCTAAATTATAACATTCCCTTCCAAATATATATTGGTGAAATGAGACATTTAATATAAGGAAATAGAATATTATATATGTATCTACCCTTTACTTCCAGCATCTCAGGTATGTCCTCGAGGTGCCTACAATGTCATAAAATCTGGCAGATAGCTGTAAGGAAGGAACGTCTTCTCTATAAAGGCATGCTTGCCCTAGGCCAATCTTTTCCCAGGTATCTTTATAACTGCCCATTCTATGCACATTTAGTGGCATTTGTGTCATAGTATCTTCTTTATGCAATTTCTAGTGCTATGCAGTACTTCAGGCTTATTTCTCAGACTACACCTTGTTAAAGCCACTGCATCCTTTCTGGAATCCACAGCGTCTTTCCACAACTTCATACAATCCAGAGAAAAGACATGGGTCAGTTGTAAAAATATACTATAATATACTACCTTTACAACAGTGAGTACCCCTAAAAAATCTATTTGGAATTAAACCTAAAACATTCCATAGCCTTACTATTTATTGTACTTTGTTTTGTTTTTAACTTGCAACTTGCAATTCACTTAAGAAATATTTTGCAATCCACTTAAGGAATGTTGGTTTTGTCTTTTATTAATATTTTATTTCAAATTATATTATATTTATTATAAATTTATGAATAATGAAGAAGCTTAAAAATATGAAAAAACAAATTACAGAAAATACAATTAATTTGGGAAATCTTTATTTATATATAATTAATTTTATTTAAAAGGTATTGCCAGTTTCACATAACATTTTATTGATTTGGTATATATGTTATCATTTCTTTCCAAAAGGAACAATATTAATAATTCTGTGAGGGAAGATTTTAATTTAAATTATTGAACAAATATGGCAATAACTACCATATATAATGGAGCATAGGAATAAAAGAATATTTGTAGCTCAGGGTTGAAATGAAGGTTCCTTGGTGCTCTCAGCTTGATTGTTTTCTTGCAGACGTTTCATTACTGATGATGTTACCTAGTTTGGCTAAATGAAACGTCTGCAAGTAAACAACCAAGCTCACAGAGCACCAAGGATCCCTCAAGCATAGGAATGTTAAGACATATTGAGTAAAACATATTAAATTGGAATGTATTCTAATTAAAGGCCAAGCACAGCTCCTAAGCTAAAAAGAGAGAAGAATCTCTATTTTACGCAGCAAAGAATATGGATGCAAATATTTATAATGTACTTATTTATATCCTACTTTGTATTGAACTACGTATGGCAAACAGGACAATAGATACCTGAATAACAGTACTGTCCTTCCTGAAACAAAATTAGTACTTAGGAGCAATATAAATATAAATCCGATACCCTCTGATCTTCTTCCTTAGTCCAGGGGCCTTTAATAAGTTCTGGATTTAGGACCTTCTGCCATCGATGCTGACACTGAAAATCAGAACGATTCTGAAAAAAATGAAAAAGAATTATTCTCTGTGTAGCTTGCCAACCTGATTGAAGATGTTATAGGATTCTAATATTTGTATAGCATTTCTACTATAAAACTAGGAATTCTAACAGATGTATATAGAGAGAGGTCTTTTTTTCTATCTGCTTATTGTTTATTCAGACAATGATGCTCAGACTTCTGAATAGTTGAATACTAAATAAGAAAAACTTTCCACTTACTTGTAAATGACTAGAAATAAATGTCCAGTCACTTGTACCATGCTGTTCTACTAGTTTTTTAAGTTTTTCATCCTGTAATAAATGATAAAAATTTCCATCAATAATTTTTCAACACTGAACCCAAAACTGTATGGAAGATAAGCCATTTACTCACCTCATCACGGGTCCATTTTACTCTGTTACATATCTTTTTTGCCCCTTTTTGTTGTGGTACTTCATAGTCATGATCTGCATAATGAAGTTCATCATCATCTTCCTCACTGCAAAGTGCAAGCTATTATTAAATTAACATTGACAGTAAATGTATGCCTATGTCTCACATGTTTTAAAGACTTATAGTCAACATTTTAGACTAAAAAGTACCGCAAACTTTAGGCATTTGTTCATACACCATTACTGACTGAACAGCTAAAGTCTAAGTAAAAGTTTAAGAAGCAACCAAACCAATCCTTTAAATATTTATTAAATATTTATTAAAATATATTTGCACTTTTAAAATATGCAAGATCATAGTAGGCATAATGTGAATGGTGTATAGGAATACTATGTTTACATATCTCTACATTTCTTAAACAGAAGGCAATCTGGGAAGAATGTCCCAATTAGAATATTTCTTACGGTAGTTGTCTTTTACTTTTACACTATTTTCTCTTTGGTGGGATGCCCACATTACATCCTCCCCTATTTCACATTCTTGATCTATGTCAAGATCAAATTTTAGTGCTTTCAGGAAAAAGAATAGAGAATTTAAGCATACCCTGAAAGATGACTTTAGTTCCAACAATAACACAGTTTTCCCTGTGTGCTTGACACCAATTGAAAGCAAATGTATCTGTATACAATATATCATATGTATTACACAGACAATTCTCATACTGGCATAATCAAACAAAGTTTAGATTTGTGATAAAACCCATGAACTAGTGTCACAAAGCTTATTTTGAGAATACCAAATATACAATCAATCAATCAGAATAGAACTGGAAGGGATCTTGGAGGTCTTTTAGTCCTCATGAGTATACATGAGTGTTGAATGAAAACTAATCAAGACGAGAACCAAACTTGAATGAAGGATAAATTTCCTGACACTGAGAACAATTCATCAGTGGAATGAGTTGCATCCAGAAGTTGTGGCTGCTCCAACACTGGATATTTTGAAGAACAGATCGGACAATCATTTGTCTGAAATGGTATAGGGTTTCTTGCTTGAATAAAGGGTTGGAGTGGAAGATCTGCAAGGTCCCTTCCAACTCTATCATTTTGCTTCCATTATTATAAATTGTAAATAGAGGGCAATACTGATGCACATGAAGCTCTGACATTTTTTAGCATTTGTTCTTTCACTTCACTTGCCAGGAACTTGCTGTTAGAAAAAGTTGTGTTGCTATAATTTGTGAAAAGAAAAACTGAAGTAGGTACTCATTAGTGTATTTAAGCAAAATGCCTTCATTAGGTTTTTGACTAATGAAGGTCAAAATCTTGTCCCTCCAATTAAAATTCATCTTTCAATACACATTGTTTACAGTGATGGCTATATTGATATGAGTAATGTGCACTGTTGAGCTATCAAATTCTAAATATAGTACCCCAGCAAGAACCAAATTGTTCAATTAAGAATGAAATGCATAACCAGAACAACCAACAAATTTCACATGAGAAAGTTTCATGAGTTAAGGATAATTGACAGATCACTCAAGAGAAAATTTCTGTTAACAACATTTGGGTCATATAATTGATATTCTTCAAAATTGGAAGAGTTCTGGAATAAGTGTTCCTCATATGCTGACTGCAGAAAACCTCAAGAATTGAAATTTTCTGATTATTATTATCATATTACAAGAATGAAGAGTTTCTTCACAGCATCATGATAATAAAGAAAACATAGGCCCATTCTTATAACCAAAAAATAAGCATTAGTTCATGGGGTATTATCACAAATCTTAATTGTGGAAAAAAGTTCAAAATTTGTGCTTTGGCAGAAAAACGTACTACAGTTTTGGGCATTACAGAAGGTACTATTCCATTGGAATTCCTTAAGCACCAATATCAAATTATAGTGTTACACTGCAATATTCAAAATCTTGAAATAATTATTAGTTTAGAAGTTTAAGGAAATCTTAAGGAGTATCTTTAAGATAATCCTAGGCCTCAAAAGTCACAAGACATCCAAAAGGCAATCTAGAAGTTGCATCTCATCATCTTAATCTGTCCACCATAATCCAGTGTAGGTGACATGCAACTTCCAACTTTTTTCAAAATTGAAAAAACATCTTTCAATTTGAGTTCTTAACTCAAATGAAGTAGAAAGGACTGTCAAAAGACAAAGCATGGAATTCTTTCATGATGATTTAAGAAGCTTGCCCATAATTGGCAGAAGTATATAGCAAATAGTGGTGATTATGTGGAGCATACAAATACCAAAAGTGCTCATTTCAATAATTATTTTCCTGTTTCATTTATTAAAATATCCTTATTTAAATTAACTTTTTGGAAATGAAGGCATTACTTTTCACTCACTGTATCTTTGTACAAATGCCTAGACTAGTTTATACATGGCATTTTTCCCAGGTCAAAATAATATATAAAAGAAAAAATATTTTTCTTCAAGGAAGTTAATTGTATGCAAATACTGCACATTAGAAAATAATTAAACAGCAGCATTCATTTTCAGAACTATTAAAGAAAACAAATGTTTTCACCTTTGTTTCCTTGAGAACAGTCTGCCATCTACTGGCTTCTTAGAGAACTATACTAATATTTACCAAATTAGGTGTTTCATTTACAATTTTTTCATAGTCTTCTTTGCAAATGGTTTAAGCAAGATATTAAGTATTATCATAGAAAATAGAGAATAGACAAATCCCCCTTTTCATAGTCTTTTTGCTCAATTCCTTTACAATATTTATTTGTGTTCAGGAAAAAATCATATTAAAAGAGTATTTCTCAGTCATTAATATTTTCATTTTAAAATCTTTTAAGAAAATATATTGATAAGATCACAGTCTACAATACTGCTATATTATTTTTTCAGTTGATTCTCCCCCTTTGAGTCAGAGACAGCAGTCATGACTCTCCAAATATGGTGAATCTACAATTTGCAACTCTTTTAATCATCTTAGGGCAATTCTTGAATTGAATCCATTTCAATTCTTGATTTGGTAGTTCTCTAATTGCTTCTAGTTGGCACAATAGGGGTTTGGACATTATCATCTGTCATAACTAAACAAAGTTATATAAACTATAATTAAAGTGGATCAATTTCCCGTATCTTCAAAAGCCCATCACATTACTTCTATGCCTATTTATTTGGAAATAAGTTCTGCCAATTTCATATAATTTACAAAATTGTATTCACAATTCATAGTTGACAAAAGAGAAGTCTATATAAAGAAGACAAATCATAATGTAGGTAGGAATGTCTTTGAAGGTAAACTGAAAAATCCACCTAAGATACTGATTGGAACTGGACAAAAGAATGATATGATACCAATGTTATATACTTTGGTTTCCACTTTAGGCTCAATTTAAAATCTTGGAATTAACCAATGAAATCTACCAGTAAAGAAATATCTCTATATTATCTATTTATTATAAGAGGCTTCAAGCCAAATATCCTTACTTGCTGAAGAATCATACATTGTTGCTTAGTAGCCAGCTGTTTCAAAAATTCAGTAAAATGCCTTCTCTTGCTTTACTATCTTTTTATTACTAATAAACTTTCTGTACCTTGGATCTTTTACTCCTCTACGTATTTTTAGTGCTAAACTTTATCATTTTTACCACAGTTTTAGATTGTTCTGTATTTATTATTTTCCTGTTTTTCCCTTTGCATTTAATGTTATTTTTCGTTCTGTTTTTGTATGCTATCCTCTGAGAAATTGATTAAACAACAAGAAATTTATCCTGCAAATATGTTAGTTTGAAACAAATTACAACTATTAGCTATTTATTTTTCTAATAAATGAGTAGAAAAACATGAAAAGTTTTTAATACTTTTCTTGGTTTATGTGCAAGTTTTGACTGAAGGCCAATACTTTATTGTTCCCTTCTGCAATCCTTAAATATTATTTTTGCTTACATACTCCCATATTTAAATAATATATAGGAGAAAACTAATTCAGCAAAATCATACCGGGGACACATTATTCTCTTTCAGACTTTCCCTCTCACATACTTTTACTTATTGTACAAAAAAAACACCATTCAAAGAGAGAAACAAGAAGCAAAAACGGAAGAAATGACACGATAGGATAGCAGGAATATTTTTGGTACTTATACTTTTTCCGCACAAAGATGTGATTTGGCATCAAGCGAGGAAATAACCAAATAGATGAAATAGGACCATCTTTTCACCCTGTGTAAAAGCAGCGTAACAAAACCTTAAACCACCATCACTAGAAAGATCCAGGCCGAGGCACAAGTGAGAACGGGTCAGAGCTGCCAGGGCACGTGGAAGCGGCAGCAGAAAACCTTCCATGGTCCGTGGGGAGGAGAAGCGGGGCTGGGTCAGAAGCCCTCGCCAAGGAGGGTGGCACGGCCTGTTCCGCGGCGGAAAAAGTGGGAAACGCAGAGCCGGGCATGGAGGATGCCAAGGCGGCGATCAGGAGAGTGTACGGGGCCACTCACCTGCGCGGCCTCTTCGCCATCCTTCGCGTGCACCATAAAGCAAGCAGAAAGGAACGGGGATGGCCCCGCCGACCAGGAGCGCTCGCTCAATCGAAGCCGCCGGGCGATGCCCGACAGAGGGGGTCCGGGGAGAGGGGCGCTGCTTTTTTAGCCCCGGCCCCGCACCGTTCCCCGTACCGGGGGCATGGCCCGACACCCAGCCAAAAACGGCAGGCGAAAGGATCGGGGACCAAAGCGAGAGGAGCCCTGGTCCGGCTGCCACTGCTCGGTCCTCCGCCTCGAACGCTTTCCAGAGGCGCCGCCGAGCTCGCGGGGTTTTTGTTGTTGTTGTTTTTTTTTTCCTTTCCCTTTTCGACCCTGCCGCCGAATCTCGCGCCCAGCCTCTGTCCGGAGCCACCGTTTGAATCTGCGCACGCGGACTGACACCCCATTGGCTGCTGCAGAAAGCACGCGACCAAACGGGGGAGCTTGGGCGAGGGAGGAAGGGGAACGGCCAGTAAGAGGAGAAAGGTGGCGGGATACTGGAGAGGTTGGCGAGGGAGGAGGAGCTACTGGCGGGCTCAAGCTCAAGGGCTGCTGGGAATGCGAGTCCTTGCCTCATCGAGGGCTAGAGAAAACGAGAGTTCTCACCTGTTTCCAGCGGGCAGCATATTGCGTTAGCGAATGTGCTATTTTTCTTTTTTCTTTTTTCCCCACACAGTTTCAAAAGAAAAAGGTGAGGCACATTTTCGGCTTATTTTCGGATTGGCCTCTTGTTGGCTGTACAAGCAGAACCGCTCAATTTTAAAGTATGCTTTCTCAATAAACGCTAATTTTTATCAGGGAGGATACAAAAGTTTTACCAATCTGAAACAAGTTTAAAAATCCGACAAATGGAAAGAAAAGCAAGCCTCCTTCGAGCCGGAATCGAACCAGCGACCTAAGGATTCCCGTGCGACATTCCGCCTCTACAGTCCTCCGCTCTACCAGCTGAGCTATCGAAGGGGTCTGGAATGTGCCTCTTAATGCCTGGCATACAGATGTGCGTTGCCAATAATGACGTTGAGGGTAAAGTTTTAAAATAAGGCCACGGATACAGCTTTATCTTTAATCCCCATTCTGTGGTACCTGAAAATATAGTTCCGGACGATAAGTATGTATCGACCCTATAATGTTTTCAACTTTTCAATTCCAACTTAACGCTGATCAACCATTGAACGCGACGAGATTTGCTTTCCAGCGAGCGTACGACCCTAAATCTTGGCATATAACGCTGAAATAAATATCCCTGGCTTAGTTCACCCTTTTCGCGCTCAAGACTGGGGGCAAAACAAAGCAACCTCAGATAAAGCAGTCGATTTGGCTATTTGTTTCAAAACTGTGTGGCACAATTCCCAGATCCATAATATACATTTTAAAGAAGACCCGTTTTCTTGTCTTTCTAAAAGTAGATATATAAAACAAAAGGAGTCTTTTCGAATAAAAAACCCTATGTCTGGTTTTCGTTGTTATTTAGGAACAAATAAAGACAATTGACATACACTGCATACTATCTAAAGAAGAAGAAGAAAATTCACCAGTTGAAAATTATTGCTTTTTCTAAACCTATATTTAGAAACCCGGTTATCGTTGAGATGTGATTGAGCAGTTGCAATATTTCTAATACGGAGCATAGCTTTTTTTAAAATATACATTTTTCTGAGTTTTAAAAATATCTTCCTATACATGACAGTAAATCTACAATTTTATGTACATTGTAAAAAACGTTGGTTAAGAATTAGGTTCACCAAGCAGGATTGTTACATCAATTTTGAGGCAAAGGGGGAGATGGACATGAGATCTCTAACTAGGTCAGTGTTATCCACTTTGCTGGTATGCTTTTCTTTTTTAAGGAAGTATGTCAGTGATGCCAAAGTCAACATATATACAATGTTGAGTACAGTAAAGGATCTTTTACACACTCACTAGGTGATGGCCTTGGTGTCTACAAAGAAATTGTTAGAAAAAAAATCTTTGTGAAGTGGCTACACATAATTGATATATATATATTGAATATTATTTGATATTTACCTTTGCTTCCAAAATAGAAAAGTTAGCAGTTCCTTCATTTGCTTGATAGGCCAAGATATACAGTATTTTAATTTGCTAGCCTAATGACACTAATGTCTTTCTATGTCTGAAATTAGATTTGAAAGCTAATTAAGTATTTTAATATTGCAGTATAATACCACTTACAAATACATTATTCTTCAAAGAAAGCATCTGCTATACATATGTGAAATAAAATTAACCACTGAGTACATCTTCCACCAAATAATATGTATTTCTCTAACCGGGGTTTCCGGTTCAATGTGTGAAGGGTGAAGGATGTGTGTTTGTGTTTATTTTCATGGTCGTCATGATGTGCACTGAAGATGGTGTTTGATTTCGTTGTACGAGACGCAATGACAATAAAGTAAACTAAACTAATATGTATAACAGTATCAATTATAAGGAGATAGTCCTTGACTAACCAGAAGTGGGATGAGAATTTCTGTTGTTAAGCAAGGCAGTTAAGTGAGTCAAGTTTACCTTTTTTCCCAGTTAAGCAAATCACTGCAGTTAAGTGAATCACACATTGAGTCCAGTTTTCCCCATTAACTTTGCTTGTTGGAAGTCAGCTGAGATCACAAATAGTGACCATATGACCCCTGGACACTGCAAACATCATAAATACATGTCAATTGCCCCAGTTTTAATGTTGGGACACTGTGATGGTCATTAAGTGCAAGGACCACACAGAAGTGACTTTTTTCAGTGCTTTCGTAACTTTGAAGGATTGCTAAATGAATGGTTAAGTCGAGAACTAACTGTATGTATATTTTTATTTCTTTGTACTTAGGACATACTAAAAAAAATAAAATTTTTAAAAGTAGTATTAAAAAAAAAAAAACTTTCCACCCCCAATTTTCACTAATAAGATGTTATACAATGATAAATAGCCCCTTAGGTCAAGAGCCTATAATGTCTCTTCCATATTCTTCATATGCAGGATGAGGTACTCAGTATATCATTATTACTGAAGGTAGTTAAATTTAAGATCAGCCAAGTATTCTATGGGTGGAGATAATCTAGAAGTTCTTTAGATACATTTCTCCAAGTTCAAAAAAGAAAAGCAGGATATACATCTATGAACAAATCCACAGGCCCATTGTTTCTGAATAGTTATTCTAATCCACCCAACTTCTTTATGTATACTTCTATGCTCTCCAATCTATAATGTATATGAATTTAAAATAATACATGTGATTGTATTGTCCAATTAACAAATTTCCAAATTAAAACGTCCCTAAATAACTGGCATTCTGAAACATAGAAACAGCTGAACAGCTACTTAGGTGTAAAGTTTGAAAGAGATGCAGTTCTATTTAACAAAGGGATGCCACTGGCATTATTACTCCCATTCCCCTATACAAAGAAATTTGCCTTGATGAAAGACATGGAAAGTTGACCTATAATAATCACCTCAGTAACAGTAACTTGATACAAGGACTAGGAAAAAATTGTTTGGCTTCGATTTTTAATATTGCAATCAAAGAAAATTCAAAATACTGTACAGTAAAATGTAATATAATACACTGTTATAATACACTATTATTACATTACAAATTAAAAAAAATTAGTACAGCAATCACAAATAAAATTCAAATGTGCTGAATGGCCAGCATTGTGAACATGGTATCATTACTACTCTAGTTTAATTCAATATGTAAAGCACTTGCAATTTTAAAAGATATCCTAAATATATACAGTGTTAATGCTTAATATACATTTTTTTAGAAATCCAATTACTTCCAAAAGTGCACTCTTTTCTGGCAATAATCCTGAATAAAATAAAATCTAAAAATATCAGTTACAGTTCAATATTTTGCTACAATCATGAGGGCAAAGCAAGAATTCTGACAAAGAATTTTAAATGCAACATCTTAAAATATAAAAGACTATGAGATATCAATAAAATTATTGGAAGAAATATTTTTGAATACACAAGTCCAGCTATCAGGCTACTGATGAAGTTCTAACAACCAGCATATCAAAATTATCTAAAAGAAAAACCAGTATAGATTGAGATCTTATGTGTTGTACACTGAGCTGAATATGGAGGAACAATCATCAAAACACTTTGCTGTATCATAATTAAATTCTTTTCTGATGGAAAAAAATAGTCACTTTGATCTTCAAAAAGAATGAAAGTATAACAATGCTCTGTGTTTTTTACTAGAACAGTGAATAGAAAGCATACCTCAGGAAATCCTATATCTTATTTCATATAACATACTGTTATTTTCAACCAACTGACTAGAATTTTTTTTTAAAGTTGCAGAAGAAAAATAGAACATAAGAAATACTTTGTATTTTTTTAAATCAGAATCTTTTGTTACTTTTTTTTCTCTTGTAAATAATGAGGTACAAATCTTCGAAAGTTAAGGAAGAGATAGTCCAGCACATAGGATATTATTTTTAATTGCACATGGTCTATGTTTAAGTTTCCATTAAATACAGAACTGTAACAGGGGGATATAATGTATCATAAAATACATTTACATCTAAATTAAAACCTGCAAAATGCCTTAATGCCAGCAATTTCTAAAATGTATTTTATTTTTATTTGCATTTTTTCATCTGGTAACACAGAGGCTATTCTCTTAGTAAACCAGTACACTGAATACTGCCAAGCTTCTGTTGTACTAATATTTATATTATTTACAGAGAAAATTGGTTTGCTATTTAATAACAAATTTGTTTAACCTGAAAGGAACTGCAGTCTGACTTCAAAAAAGTCATGATCTTCCAATTATCAAACTGGATACCATTCCCTTCAAGAAAATTGTGATACAGTTATAGTTATGCTACTTATTTCTTAAGGAAATTCAGTTCAGACATCATTACTATTTCTTTTGCCAGATCCAACATTTTTCTCCATTAATTTTTGTATTTGATTAAATTATGAAACAGGCAATACTACTGCAAGTTATATGAACTTAAGCTTACTGAAATTCAG